TATAATCAAAGTGTCTGCACATTTCAGTGATGACAAACAATGAGAAAGCAAAAGGCAATGAGCTCGACCCAGTGTGTGAGGGATGGCACAAACAACAGCTCGTCGCTGCCTCATCTCGCCAGTTGCCTCTCTGTTTGAACAGGACATGCTCCAATTCAGCGATTTTGATTATAAAAATGCTTGATTGTAATCATACAAAAATTACATTTAAAGCACAGATCAGTAGATGCATATTAATATTTATTTTATTTTGTCATTATGTTTTATTACCTTTCATAATGACGCGGTAAAACGTACTGTTAAACTAACTTGACACGGTTAACTTGTCAAGTTAGTTTTTTCTTTTAGCTAGCCAAGTTTTTTAATGCCTGTTTATACCTGTACTGTTTTATAATAGACTCTAACAGCAATGTGAAGGGAGAAGAATATGTGTTCCCACTCTGTTTTTCAAAAGAATTGACAAACCAGGCCATGCCTGATGCAGCCTCTGCTGCAAAGAGATCTATTATTCTTCCAAGGGCTCCCGGGCCCTTTTGGCACACTGTAAAAGGTGGTGGCTATTATGACCACACGTAGCATATTAGTGTCAACAACTCAGGGCCGGTCACAGCAGGGACCATCAATGCTGCAGCACTGAGCAGATGAGGGAACGCGTGAAGGTGCCAGGACCACTCTCTAAAGGAAGCAAATGCAGAAGGGAGTGTTGGTTAGCCAGTATGTGCTAGTTGTTATCATAGATCATTCAAGTAGCAAGCCTAGATAAGCAGACAAGGGAATCTCAAAGAATGTTTGTTTTTATAAATATAAATATCAAAATTATTTACATGTGTTTTGGATATACTACTACTATAAATACTTTTTTTTCAGGCACTGGTTCTTGGAACCATTGCAGAACATTCCATCCCCCTATCTGTAGCTCCTGTCATCGTTGAGCTTGCCCAGACACTGGCTCGGGATAAACCAGCTTTGACGGGCATAAAGCTGTCCTGGACTGCTGCCTCGTACAAGATGGTCCAGGGCCTGGGGCACACCTTCTCAGAGAGGACGTCTGACAGCTCAGGTCAACACCATTCTCAATTAACTTAGATAAGAGCACATCAAACTCCACTAAGAAGGTGTTATTCTAGTATGCTACCTCAGTATGTGGTAGTCGAACACCTTTGCTCCATTGAAGTCCTAAAGGGGACTGCTCAATATTTGGAAAAGGCCTTGGTGACCTTTTTCAATTACCATAAAATACCTTTTGCCAATGTTAGAAATAGAGGTTGGTATCCTGACATGAATCTTTGGTCAGTTTCCATGTGTCTGTTGGACTGATTCCAATACCATGGAAATATGATTCAAGCAACAGAATAAAATGGCATGGCTGAATAAACGGCAAAGTTGATGAAACCTTGTTGCTCCAGTCGAACATTAAATCCACTACAGCCAACATGATCAGTATGTTATGTTGGACTCCTGTAATGCGTGGGAGCAAGTCTGGGCTGGAGACCAGAATCAGAGGGACACACTGCCAGAACCTCTTGGATGTTGATGGAGATTCTTGCCAACACATCCATAATGCGGCCAAACAGTTTGCTGCCCCCTTTGGCCACCACCTCGAGCAGCTCTTCACTGACCTTCCCACAGACCACCAGTGGGCTTCAGACCAGTTGATATATCTGCTGGAGATTTGTGAGTTTCTGGCCATTCAGGGAACGTAGCCACAACGGTTCGTGGCACATCAGTGGCTTTGGGCTTATAATGTGGGGGATCAGCACTTGTTGCCTGCACACACAGAAGCTCATGGGGATGGAGTTCAGGGACAAAATGCTGCCTCTCAGGGAGCTTTATGTTGAACCGGTGGCTGAAAATGCAAGTCATCTGATTGTGATCCAGTTTCTCGGTGCATACATGCATACAGTGCATCCGGAAAGTATTCACAGCGCTTCACTTTTTCCACATTTTGTTATGTTACAACCTTGTTCCAAAATGGATTAAATTCATTATTTTCCTCAACATTCTACACACATCAACCCATAACGACAAAGTGAAACAGATTTTTTGCAAATCTGTTAAAAATAAAGAACAAAAACATAACATGTTCATAAGTATTCACAGCCTTTGCCATGACACTCAAAATATAGCTTGGGTGCTTCCTGTTTCCACTGATCATCCTCGAGATGTTTCTACAACTTGATTGGAGTCCACCTGTGCTAAATTCAGTTGATTGGACGTGATTGAGAAAGGCACACACCTGTCTATATAAGGTATCACAGTGCATATCAGAGGATAAACCAAGCCATGAAGTCCAAGGAATTAGCTGTAGACCTCTGGGACAGAATTGTATCGAGGCACAGATCTGGCCAAGGGTACAGAAAGATTTCTGCAGCATTGAAAGTCCCAATGAGCACAGTGGCCTCCATCATCTGGAAATGGAAGAAGTTTGAAACCACCAGGACTCTTCCTAGAGTTGGCCGCCCAGCCCGACTGAGCGATCGGGGGAGGAGGGCCTTAGTCAGGGAGGTGACCAGGAACCCGATGGTCATTCTGACAAAGCTCCAGCGTTGTTCTATGAAGAGAGGAGAACCTTCCAGAAGGACAACCACCTCTGCAGCACTCCACACATCAGGCCTGTTTGGTAGAGAGGCCAGACGGAAGCCACTCCTCAGTAAAAAGCACATGACAGCCCGCCTGGAGGACTCTCAGACCATGAGAAACAAAAATCTCTGGTCTGATGAAACAAAGATTGAAGTCTTTGGCCTGAATGCCAAGCATCATGTCTGGAGGAAACCAGGCACTGCTCATCACCTGGCCAATACCATCCCTACAGTGAAGCATGGTGGTGGCAGCATCGTGCTGTGGGGATGTTCTTCAGCAGGAGGAACTGGGAGACTAGTCAGGATTGAGGGAAAGATGAATGCAGCAATGTACAAAGAAATCCTCGATGAAAACCTGCTCCAAAGCGCTCTGGACCTCAGACTGGGTCGACGGTTCATCTTCCAACAGGACAACGACCCGAAGCACACAGCCAAGATAACAAAGGAGTGGCTTCGGGACAACTCTGTGAATGTCCTCGAGTGGCCCAGCCAGAGCCCTGACTTGAACCTCATTGAACATCTCTTGAGAGATCTGAAAATGGCTGTGCACCGACGCTCCCCATCCAACCTGATGGAACATGAGGTTCTGCAAAGAACAATGGGAGAAACTTCCCAGAAATAGGTGTGCCACGCTTGTGGAATCACACCCAAGAAGACTTGAGGCTGTAATTGCTGCAAAAGGTGCTTCAACAAAGTATTGAGCAAAGGCTGTGAATACTTATGTACATGTGATGTTTTAGTTCTTTATTTTTAACAGATTTGCGAAAATTTGCAAAAAGCAGTTTTCACTTTGTCGTTATGGGTTGTTGTGTGTAAAATGTTGAGGAAAATAATGAATTTAATCCATTTTGGAATAAGGCTGTAACATAACAAAATGTGGAAAAAGTGAAGCGCTGTGAATACTTTCCGGATGCGCTGTACATATCAACAGCAGCCTGCATGCAGAAAAAGCTGCCACTGAACAACAACCTTTGCCTTGTTCAGAAAAGGATCAAAGACAAGTTAAATGGGCTTGTGAAAGTTGAAAACCATCCAAGCTAAAGGGCCGCAGCTTATTTGTGTTTTACTTATATATATATATATATATATATATATATGATGTGAATACACCATCCAAAGGGATTTTTCACATCCTGGAAAGAGAGCCTTTGAACGGTTAAGTACTGAAATCTATTGAAAGTCGTCTTTGAAGTAAAGTGAAAAATGTTTGTTGTAGGTTGACTGGTTAACTTCTTGCAGCATTTGTAAAAACTGGATAGTTTTGTGGATCATATTGGATTAAACTACAACTGAAAGAAATGTCGGGTCAAAGGATCGTGACGTCTTTGTGGATGCGTTCCTCTGTTAGGACAATCCCATACCAGGATCAATAGTTAAAACCCAGCGGCACGGTCAATATTATATCACCAGTATCTCACTAGCCTTTAACACTCCAGCGAGGACTGGGCCATGATCACTGACGCATGATGCTGTGTCACCTTAATGCCAGTTCACCAAATCAATCCATATGTGAAAAATAAGAGCAGCCGGCTGATTATTTTCCTGTGTTGGTTTAACACCAGTTCAAACGTTGGGACTGTGTTAGTTATGTGGAGAACAAAGTGACTTTGGTCGACCTCGGCAGCATAGGTTCTTCCCTTGTGTATGACGATGCACATGGAATCAGAATAAAGAAATTTGGGGGGGGGGCTGAAGTCAATCCAAGCTAACATCAGGCGAGAGAAGATATACAATCGCATAAAGAAAGGGAATGAAAAAAGCATTCCAAACTGCTTTTAACTGCTTTTCTTTTCAGGCATTACATGTGTTGCAATTGTACAGGAAGTGTTGACGGGCAGGAAAGAAGATATTGGGTGGGGGGGGGTGTGGTTTGTGGAGGTACGGGGATTTCTGTCCCCGTCTCTGCAAATCCCTGAGCGTTATGCTTTTGGACAAAATAGTGGAATTACTCCAATATAAACATTGGACTTATAAATACCGGGAGTCCTATGTGGTTTAACCATGTGGAGACTAGTTAATGGAAAGTATGTATTGAGTTGATGTGCCATTACTATCATTTCAGAAAGAATTAGCAAACCATGAGAGGCTGCTTGATGGGAAATGCATCCTAGAAGCTGTCTTGACGGATAGTATCCTCGACATGCTCCTCACTGACACGAGGCCTCCGTTTATGGCTGAACCCTGGTTATACTCTTCCCTCCAGAACCCACGAGAAAATAACAAGAAACGTTCAAGGATGTGAAGACTGCAATAAACACCAACTGCTGGGTTGAGGCATCCAAGCGTGATAAAGTTGTTTTTTTTAAAGCTTTTGCGACTCGGATATCTGCTTTAAGGAGATGTAGTAGTAGTATAATAGTTACACGTTAAAATCCTCCTGTCAGCAATCTGTATGACGGACCAAAGAGAGGCAGGATACCGTTTGATTTGTAAAGCAACATATTTACTTTATACAATTCAACTCCCGAGTTGTGAACGTGCATCAACAGTTCAACGAGCAGAGGGATCACGAACACGCTGCATGTGTGGATACGGGAGACGTGGACGTGGCATAATAAATGAAACCCCGTCCCACTGCGGGGGGGTCCGGCTCTGAGGACGACACTGAAAGTGGGCTCAGGGCGGCACGTCGGCCATCTTCCTCTTGCGGTAGTTGAGGACCAGGCTGGAGGCGGTGAGCTGCGAGGCCCGTCCCTTCTCCCAGCTCTGGAAGCCGTTGAGGCCGCTCTGCCCCGACGTGAACAGGAACTTCTCCAAGCAGTCCAGGCGCTCCACCAGCGCAGACGTGTCCTCGTTGTAGGCGTTCTGGGACGAGTCCATGTTCCGTCTGAAGCGGCCGATGAACGTCTGGGGAGGACGGAGCCAACAGTTTGCAACCAATGGCGCGGGAGCACAAACTAACCATAACATGACTTTCAGCTTTAGTTACTCTCCCAGGGTTATTATACAAAGAAAACTCACCTCAGGCTGTAAATAAGTTTTTTTTTAAAAAGAAAAAAATCTAATTCAGAGATTTCATCTCTACCTGAGAGAACTCTGGCACCTGGTCTTTTTAGGCCTGATGAAAGGAAGTTACCTCATTTGGAATGACCTGTCAATCAGGTCACCGCCGCTCCCCTAAAGCACAGATCAGAAGTACAGACCTTGATGTTTTGGTCTTTACAGTGGGTGTGTAACGCCGTGGAGAAGCACTTCATCCCTCTACCTCTGTTTGAACATCAGACACAGAGGTCGGATAGAATCTGCCCGGTAACAGCAGACAGTAAGCCAAGTGCTCTGAACCGATTGCACCCTCTAGCTGTAATGTATGAAATAACACCTAACGTTTCTCAGAAAGCATCTAGCCAGCGACATATGTTACACAAAAAGGGATTTATTTAAATTTAAGAAAAAAAAAAAAACATCCAGAAAACTGTTTTGGGTTTATATGCATCTCACGAAAACACCAGCCAACAATCACACTGTGTAGTAGAAAATATCCTAACGAACATGAGACAGTGATTCTGCAAAAAAAAGTTCCCAAGTGACACATTTTACTTTACGGGTAGCCAAACTTAGAGGAATAGGGCAACATTTAGGAAATTAAATCTGTGATTGGGGGCTTAGAGAAGCAAAGTCACTAAGATCACTACAAATCCTCGAGGAGCTACTTTTTTTTTTCTGGTTCCGCATCCCAGAGGTCATAGTCCGTTTAATAAATCATTCTTCATGACACGTTATGCCGCACCAAGGGTCCCTGTCTCATTTAAATAATGATTTTCTTCCAGTGAAGAAGGCAGTATTATGAATGTTCACGACAGTACTGAGTACAAGATTTGAGATGCAGCAGCGCGGCACCTTTTCTGTGTCATCTTCCGTGTTTTAGGTTAATTCTGGTGTGTGTCGCTCACCTGCAGCAGCGTCTGGGCGATCTCCGGGTTCTCTGGGCTGTCGAAGTGCAGCATCTGGGAGCCCAGGCCGTAGTAGTAGGGCCCCATCTTGTGCAGGTCCACCACGTTGGGGTCGGCGTTGAACACGGTCCTCCAGCCCTCCCTGTACACCTTGGGGAGCTCCACCGACAGCACCCTCCTCTTCCTCTCGTACAGGCCCTTGGACAGCCACAGAGGGAGCTCCATCTTGGTGCCCTGAGGCGGACGGTGCAAGTGTCCGTGGTTCACAGGGGTGCAACCACAGCCAAAACATTTCAGAACAATCATTTTGCATCACCCTTCTGGGCCTGGAGTATGTTACGTCACGTGACCTCACTGAAGCGGACTGGCGGTCCCATTACTCGTTTCCACAAGATGAGGAGTTACTTACTAACCCTAACTTACTAACCCGAGTCCATCCTCTGCTCCTCCATCACCGTCTGGTACGCTGCAGCCACTGCCAAGGACAAGGGCAGGCTGCAGCGCGTCATCCGCTCTGCAGAGAGGGTGATCGGCTGCAATCTGCCGTCCCTGCAGGACTTGTTCGCTTCCAGGTCTCTGAAGCGTGCTAAAAAGATGGTGGCCGACCCCTCCCACCCCGGACAAAAACTGTTTGTGTCCCTTCCATCTGGCAGGAGGCTGAGGTCCATCAGGACTAAGACCTCACGCCACACCAACAGTTTCTTCCCGTCGGCAGTCGGGCAGAGCCTGGTCCCCCACTGACTGACTATAACATTCCACCGGTCACTCCCCTTCACACTGCACACGTCACTTTAACTGCAATTCATCACTTTGTCGTCACTCGTCACTTTGTTACTTGTTCGTTAGTGCACTTTATGCTTAATATTTTTCTTTTTACTTTATATTTTTAACTTTATTCCCTTGTTTTATACTAACCCATAGCCGTATTCTACTAACCCATTGCATTAGCATTTCATTTTACTTTATTTTATTACTTGTGCACTGCTGTCTTGTCTGTCTACTGTCGCGCACTAACCGCCAAGACAAGTTCCTTGTATGTTTGGCATATTTTGGTGATAAATGTTTCCTGATTCACGTTGCATTTATTACAAGCCGTTAATTCGGGATAATACAGCACAGGTTACGTCTGGGAAGGTAATAGACAAACCGGATTAAAAATGGATTTTGTATCTGTATTAATTCATATTTAACCGCCGTAGATTTAAGAGTAACTTAAATATATCCAATGGGTTTTGACGTGACGTCTTTCTCCTCACAACAAAAAGGGACTTGCCTGAAATATTTTTAGTTGCATCTCAGGAAAACGGTCATCTCTAAATAAATAAATACACTGGCAAGTTTTCTAAACCGTCGGTACCTGTACGAACCTGCGGGATGTCCTGCGCGTCGGTCGCCTTCTCCAGGTAGCCCAGCCGGGGGAAGGCGCACTCCGTGCGGATCGGGAGCCGCTCGTGAGAGAGCAGAATGTCGTCGAGAGACAGGAAGTTCTCCTGCATTCCCACCCCGGGCTGTACGGGCAGATAGGACTGCGTGTCCATCTTTATGGCCGAACGAGGTCAAAGGCAGCGTTTACCGACATATATTTACTGAAACATCGCGTAGATAATCTCTTCTTCTGTGTTGACGACGCTTCCTCTTTCCTCTTTTGGCGCCGCGATCCGGCGGCCAATCAGAGCGCTTTGTTTGGCAGAACAGAGCAGTAGATATGGATCCATCCAGACCAGAGCAATAGATATGGATCCATCCACGAGACGCAGGTGCACTTGATCGTGTGTTTTATGACTGTAAAAGTTGCTTGTTGTTGGAATGCTGCCTGGAATCTTTACGTCATCATCTTCTTCTTCTATTACCATCATATTTTCAGCTATTGAAACCGTTATAAATATTAAAGTACTCAGCTCTTTCAGGAGAGGGGGGTCTATGACTTTACAGCTTTCTCCCTCGTATGCTTGAATTTATACAAATCAAATTCATAAACCTTTTTTTACCATGTTTTTTCCAATGGAGTTTATGTTCAAATCCTCTTAAACTTCGCCAATCTTTCAGCTACTGACACCATTTGAACTTTAAAATGTTGACAAAAGTCTGAACTATTTTATAGAATGATTTCTTTATAATCACTGATTATGTTTTATTAGTTATTTGCCTCTCTCTGCACTCTGAGCAGCTCGTTAATGATCGCCGGCGCGCTGTTACCGTGGCAACTCAGACACGCTGCACCTCTGGTCCGTATCAGCAGATTTCTGCAGTCTGACCTGATGTTGCAGAGGACGTTTCAGAACCCGCTAGTGGTGATTGTGGCGCTGGTTACCTGAAAGGTTGGTGGTTTGAGCCCCAGCTGTTCCATGTTCACCCGGCTCCACTGATTGTTTCCACCTGTGTGTGTGTGTGTGTGTGTATATTTCATCTTGTCCCATGTCAGAGAACCAGCGCCCACCATCAAGCTTTACCATGTTTTTTTTGTACCTCGTCCAGACTCTCCTTCGTTTTTTCAGCCTAGTGTTTATTTTCTAGATCCTTTTGTTCTTAAATTTAGCTTAGGGCCTTTTTTCGTCTATCAAGAGTGATTTTCAGTTGCTGCCTTTTATTGTTAATACATTTCCAACATCGTCTCCGGAGATGTGGATTTGGGTTCGGGGCCGTTGTCCGGTCGTGACGATTTGTCTCTGGCTGCAGATCATTCCCGGCTCTTGTGTGTAGAATGACACCATGTCACACTACTATAACAAAAGGTACTAGTACAGTAATATGCAACTATGAATTAAGCCAGTAGAGGTCAGAAGATTACCGTTACAACCTCAAGGTCCTAAGAATGTCCATCAGCAAGCTGTTTTAGCACAATAACAATACAGATGAGACACGTGCATGCTACATGCTTCTCGTTTGTTCTAATGGGCCGCACTGATGACATTGATCATTTAACCCATTTTATAATATTGCGTTTTGAACCCTCTATCTTTAAGGGCTTGAACATGGAGCAAAGAGAAGGCATCATAACACCATGTGCTTTAAAAGGTGTGATGTTATGATAAAAAACAAAAATGTGATTGAAAGAGTTTTATGCCACATCGGAACTCCACCAATAATGTTCACATCACACGAGGAACCGAGAGGCAGCTATTTGAAGGAATGTATGAAATCAGATTCTCTGAGGCAAAGTCATGAAGCTTGCTGATGTGCAGCCAGAGAGCGATGACAACAATCTGTCACTCCAGACCCCCGACACGCTTCTTTCGTTGACCGGCTGAAATTTTGTTGTTGGGGCTTTTATTCTGAAATCGCCACTGTATTCGCCGACTTTAATATCCTTTAAAAAAAGGTATAGGATGTATGAGCTTAAATGGTAAAGTCCCAACTTATCACATCGGAGGCAGTTTGCCTGTCGGCTTCAGAAGGTGAGTTTTTATGAAGTAGATTCAAGTAAAATCAATACTTATCATCAAGGTACTTTCAGGCGAAATCAGTCAATGAAGACTTAAAGGGAAACATTGTTTCAACTGGAGAGGAGAGCTTGAAAACATCTGGTCCTTTTTGATTTTTTTAGCAGCAACTTTTAAATTCTCCGTCAATATTAGATCAAAAACTGTCACGTCGTTTTTAGTTTAGTTTAAAAAAAAAAAAACATCCACTTACAAAGAAACCTGAAGTGCAAAACTGCTGACTCATGAACTTCAAAAATATTGTGGAATAATCCCCCGAGGGATTCCTCTACTTTTACTAAAAGGAACATCCGGAGAATCGTTTGAAGTAAACTTGCAGGTGAAAATAATCTTGTGACAAAAGGCCTTTTCCTGTCAGACGGCATTCTGGGAAATATTAAAAAAACGACTAACGGGCATTGGATTACTCGCGGCCTCGGAGAAAGAGGATCCGTCACGTCCAGACTCACCTGCCGCGGCGCGCCCCGTTACCTGCCGACGCACGCACACACCTCAAACTTAAGAAAATAAGAGCCCGTCATCTAGCACAATTTATTCCACCATTTGTTTACAGTAGCTTTGTAAATGCAGTTTGCTCATACGTTGATTTTGTAGAAGTCTTCGTACATCGGCTCTCTGAAGAGTGGGTGACACCTCACGTGATTGGAATATTAAACAAATATTGTTAAATATGAACAAATGAATAAATAATCCCCGTCAGGTGGATCCATAGTCGGGCTCCTGTCCTTTTTTTTTTTTTTTTTTTTTTCCTTCCGGGTCCGAGTGGCTCGCGTCTCCAGTCACAGTCAGCCAGACCTACGCTAGGCGCGAGGGGGGGGGGGTAGCGACCAAGAGGCGCCTTCGGAATCACACACACACACACACACAGTCGTACGCGTGAAGACGCACACTCACAGCGACAATGACTCATCACAAATGTGGCAGATCTAGAAAAGAAAAGGGCCGAGAGAGAGAAGCCTCTCTGTGGCTGTAAACATCAGCAAAGTAAAGGGAGGACTGCCGGCCGCACGCAGGGAACATGGACACCTACACTGTAAACATTTCAATACACTGACACACACACACACACACACACACACACACACACGGCACTGTCCCAGTCAGTCACGCTGTCTCTCTCACACACACACGTTACACAAAAGGAGCGTAATCTACACTGCTGGGCGCGTCCTCCCTCCCTCCCGACCAGGACCGCCGAGCGTGCTCAGACCGCTCGGTCCTCCATCTTCAGGACGCCGCCCCGAACATCCAGCCGACCCCCCCCAGTTAGTTCCTCATCCCTCCATCTCCCCCCCCCCCCCCCGCTTTTTCAGTGGGGCCCAAACAAAATTTAAAAAAGTTTCGGGGCTTTTGGGTTTTTTTTCCCATTTCTCGCGGCGGGCCCCCTTTCCTTGGGGGTTTCCTTTGTCTCCCCCTCCGGCCCCCCCCCCCCCCCCCCCTCCTCCCCCTCCCGGGGGTTGGACACGGATCACAGACGGGTCACAGACGCGAGGTGGAAGGCGAGCTGCTGCGTTGGGATGAAGGGCTGTTAGCCTGCGGCTAATGTAGCGCTGTTAGCCTGGAGCAGATGTGACACCAGGGGCCTGGGGAGGGGCCCCTTTTAGTGGACGATGGATCATTTTCTGGGTTCAGCTCACAAGGGATTCATGATCTCGGTTAGGGGGATGGATTCCGGCGGGATAAGCATGAGTTGGGCGCTTTGATGGGTTCATCAGATTTGGTGACGTCTGTGTCCAGACGTCCACGGCAGGATCCCCGACTTGTCCTGTAATTAGAGACATACAGATAATGTGCACCTGTGGTTCATCGGGCAACATATTATTATGCTTGACCTAGAAAAAGGGTGCATCGATTCAACAGTATCCGTTTATTACATCGCCGTATAAACGTTAGAGGTGATTCCTGTTTGTCACCACGAGTGATTTGGGGACGTCTAGCTGAAATGTGTGTCTCACCTTGAACAGCATTCAGAGGGCGCCGGCTGGTCGCTCAGTCGGAGGGGTGCTCGGGGCAGGACCGGTTGATCTCGAACCACGAGTCTATGCAGCTGTAGAGACATGAGTCATGAGACAACCACTGCCGTCGTGGAGGGGTTCAGCGCCACAGAGGCCCGAAAACATACAAACGCGGCGTTTACTGTCCTCTCTCCGTTGTTACTGTTGTTTGGATCGGAGAAGATCCTTCACTCAATTGAAAAAAGCTATTTAAAGGAAAAGTAAAAATGACAATTTGAAAGTATTCCATTGAAAATATTGCTGGTTATATAAGAAATGAGAAAGAAATGTTATAACATACAGATTTTTAAATGACAAACATTGTATACGGTGTAGCAGTATTCTGTAGTGTAGCAAGGAGCTGATTTTACAACTATATTATCACGTTAACAGGTTTTATGTTTAACAATACTACGGTTGACCGTATGCTTTATTTGAATGAAAAATATTTTCGGTATTGCTGTCTAATAAATGTACAAAATAAAAGTAATTGTATGTATGAAATCCAATGTGTTTCACTTGCAACATCACATTGATAGTCTACATTTATATATGTAAAAAAACATATTTTTTTAAATGTGAAGCAAAATATAAAAATACTCATATAGTCAAGAAATGTTCAGTAGGCGAATGATAACGGCTTTAGAAGCGAAACAAGGTGACCTTTTACAAAGTCAATTAATTAGCGACTTTAACTGTCAGGTGAGCTGAAAAACGACATTTTCCTGTGCGGTGTGAAAGAAATGACGTCTACCAGATTTCACTACACATGGAGAAAAGTTTGAGCTCAGGCCACAAAGCACGGAGCCGACTTAGTTTTCCTTCCTCTGAGATGAGCAGCTGCTTGAAGGGTCACGGTTTGCCATTGACCTTTAGGACTCAGGATGGACCGTTAGTCCCGGCATCGGACACAAACCAGTCGGGGTTCTTCTGTGCTGGTGTTCGATTCGATATCGAGTCCAATTGCGACGGTGATGAGGCAAATCTCTCGCACACAGTTTGGAGCCGATGGCAGCCAAACGCATTCTAATAACTGTTATTACGCTTTTTGGGGGAAGAGAAACAACTGCCCAAGGAATGCTGCGATTTTTTAAACGTGCACAATTGTATAAAAGGCATGTGTGTGTGTGTGTCACCTTTTGTGGTAGATGCAGAGGCATGGCAGTCTGGCTATGGTGTCCCCTTGCTGCAGTTCCTCTAGACAGATCACACACTCACCGGCATCTCTTGCCAGCACGTCATCTAAGGTGGCAGCGACGCACAAACACACACACACACACACAGCAAAGCACATATTAGTATGCAACAAAGAAAGCGTCAATTTCCGCCTGTGACAGCAGAGAGCAGTGCGCAGCATTACACAGTTGTTGGTTTTTGGGTTTCAGCCTTGGATCGGTTTCCTCTTTCTGTCTTTCACAGAATATTCCTATTTCTTGTCCCGGCATTGAAGGCGTGCCCATAGAGTATGGAATGGTTTAAATTTAGAATTTTTACGTCTCAAATGTGGATTCTGTTTTTCATAGGAGAGATTTTACATTCATTCCGGCTAAACTGGGATAAAATGAAGCCCAAATAACGGCAAATAATTAATATGGTTAAAAATAATGAAAGAAACTGGCTTTGTAAAGAAAAACACAAAAGGAAATAAAAGTCATATGGAGTTTTGGCGGCCCCAACATTCTAGGTCCTTCAGGGGGCGTTAAACAAATACTGAAACCATAGACCAGTATTGAGTTTTTTTTGCTGTCTTCATTTTGTTTTTTGGGGTTTTGCAACCAGAATTTACACAAGACGGTGGGGTCGGGTAAAACCAGATGCTGAATTAGACATTTTTTAGGAGGCTAAAACTAATTTTTAATAGTGAAAAAACGCAGTGAGAGGGGTAAAGTTCTGACACGAACCATGGTAGTTTTGCCAGCAGGGGGCGCCAACACAATAACCACACCCACTGACATTTTAGGGTGCAACCCAGACCCCGAGGTCTCACTGGAGGAGACGCAGAGACCTGCGGAGGTCCAGCCTGACTTCAGACGGTGGACAGAGGAATACGCCGAAAAAACTGGCTTTTTTCATAAGGATCCACGCAAGACGAAAGACGGATGTTTTAGGCCGCACCGCGTCCCATCCCGTGGGTCCCTCTCCCCAGTTTTGGAACCGCTGCTCTCCAGCATACTTACTTTGACTCTAAATTGACCATCATTTACTAAATGAACAAGCGTTGTGTCTTTGAAAAATAGAGCATATGTGCCATGATTGTATTTCGAGAGCAGATTCCCAAACTAGTTTGATAATATCTGGTTTATATTTTGAAACTCCCCTAACCATAAGGACCTGCACACGCACTTTTTGCACATGGTGCGTTCATCACCAAACCGTCTGAATAGACGTCCTGTTTGCAACATACAAACCATTGATCTATGAACCTGAAACAATGAGATGATATAGTACGACGTGTTATCTCACAACACCTCGTGTCACATCTGTCACAGTGGAGCACGTCCCAAAGACCCTGCAGCCCGGCTGCTGCTCCACTCCACTGAGATCAGCCGACTGCCGGAGCAGAAGCCCGGAGCTCAGCTCCTAATCCTCCGTGAGGCAATTAAAGCCAAGCCGGTCGCAGCTTCTCACCAATTACCGGCTTGTTTACTTCCTCTTTGCGCGTCGTCTTTTGGTGCCGAAACAACCAGGGAATTTGATTGATTTGATTTGATTGTTTGCCATCGCTGTTCTCTTTGTCTGCGCCCTCGCGGTGGGTATTAAATTACATTCAAAATGTATTAATTCACGTGGTATTTAAAGCGAAACAGGGAACCACAGAAAAGCCGCGGTGACTGTTGAAAATCAGCATCGTCATGTGACACATCTGGAACGAAGGCAGAAGAAAAACCCTAAAAGAACTCAACATGATCCAAATCCCGAGACATGAATTCACAGCACGACAGTGATGTTAACAGAGAGGAACAGAGCTGAGACACGTGATTTGATAACCACAGAGGTCCCTGAAATGATTCACCGGTGAATTTCTTATTTATACTCAATCCTGACAATAAACGTAGTTGAGATACTATTTAATTAAACTGTCTTTATTTTATTTAAACCAACTGTTTTAACATCTGCATTTAATGCCTTTTTATGGAACTAAATCATGGCCCTAAGACATCAGTCAGATGTTGCGGACCTTTGCACGAGGACATTCTCTCTAAATGGACATCGTTGGAATTTGAATTGAATGCCACTACACACAAAAAATCCTAAAAGATGTGTGAAGATCTGCTGCTTTTTGAGGTTTTGATGTCTCTGTTTCAGCAATAAATAAATAAGAGCCATAGCAACACTATTGAGCTGAGGAGCTGAGGTTCGTGACAGGTTGTAAATTGGTAACTGCAAATGTTGAACCATATTAATAGAATTCTACTCCTCACGTTGGCAGCCATGAATAATTATTTTTGGATGCATTTAAGACAAAACAAAATCTAAAAACCATGGGCCCATGTTATTAATTTGATTAAGAGGAGATATAATACTTTTTATATATAGGATAAAACAATTTATTATGTTAAAATAGGTTTTTAGGCTTGATGAAATGGGACTTACAGTATATTTGTGGTGGGTTTCATGCTACTCAATGATATATGACAGTTAGTGGTAGTAATGCACCAAGGAACAGAACGTGTCTTCAAAGGACATAAAGAAGAAGCGAGCCTGCAAGTAAATGTGGATCTTAATGATGGCTCATTCAAAGAAACAACTTTACTAGAAGGAAAGGAATCCACTGAACGTATTCATTAGGCCGTAGGTCAAAGCATGAGGGTAGACGCTGGGATAACTTAGGCCCTCTAGACGCAGGGTTTGCTTATCATGAAGATGGCGCCGACAACGGCTGCCACGATGCTTCGGTGCGCTTTGTTTGTGGTTGTTTTTGTTGTTGATTATGTTTCCTGTTGCGATTCCCGGAGCTCTTTCACCAGAGATCAGCTCTTGAACATCCGAGGAACAACTCCAGCGGAATTACTTCCAACTTTTTTTCTTTCTTCTGTGGAATTACTGGACATTATAGTCAAAGGTGCCTACCAGCCTGCTTCAAGGCCTCCACCATCATCCCTGTTCCCAAGAAGACCAGGACCACAGGACTCAATGACTACAGGCCCGTCGCCCTGACCTCTGTAGTCATGAAGTCTTTTGAACGGCTAGTCCTGTCCCACATGAAGTCCCTCACCGACCCCCTCCTGGACCCCCTGCCGTTCGCCTACAGAGCCAACAGGTCTGTGGACGATGCTGTCAACATGGCCCTCCACTACATCCTCCAGCATCTGGACTCCCCAGGAACCTACGCCAGGATCCTGTTTGTGGACTTCAGCTCTGCCTTCAACACCATCATCCCGTCTCTGCTGCAGGACAAACTCTCCCAGCTGCACGTGCCCGACTCCACCTGCAAGTGGATCACAGACTTCCTGTCTGACAGGAAGCAGCACCCGAAGCTAGGGAAACATGTCTCAGCCTCTCGGACCATCAGCACCGGTTCCCCCCAAGGCTGCGTTCTTTCCCCTCTGCTCTTCTCCCTGTACACCAACAGCTGCACCTCCAGTCACCAGTCCGTCAAGCTCCTGAAGTTTGCGGATGACACCACCCTCATTGGACTGATCTCTGGTGGGGACGAGTCCGCCTACAGGTGGAGTCTGACCATCTGGTGTCGTGGTGCAGTCAGAACAACCTGGAGCTCAACGCTCTGAAGACCGTGGAGATGGTTGTGGATTTCAGGAGGAACAGAGCCCCACCCTCCCCCATCACCCTGTGTGACTCCCCCGTCACTATTGTGGATTCCTTCCGTTTCCTGGGCTCCATCATCACCCAGGACCTCAAGTGGGAGCTGAACATCAGCTCCATCACCAAGAAGGCTCAGCAGAGGTTGTTCTTCCTGAGGCAGCTGAAGAAATTCAACCTGCCAAAGACGATGATGGTGCACTTTTATACGTCCATCCTCTGCTCCTCCATCACCGCATGGTACGCTGCAGCCACTGCCAAGGACAAGGGCAGGCTGCAGCGTGTCCTCTGCTCTGCAGAGAGGGTGATCGGCTGCAATCTGCCGTCCCTGCAGGACTTGTTCGCTTCCAGGTCTCTGAAGCAGCTAAAAAGATGGTAGCCGACCCCTCTCACCCCGGACAAAACCTGTTTGTGCCCCTTCCATCTGGCAGGAGGCTGAGGTCCATCAGGACTAAGACCTCCCGCCACGTTTCTTCCCGTCGGCAGTCGGGCTCATCAACAGAGCCCGGTCCCTCACTGACTGACTCTGATATTCCATTTTGCTATCATTGAAGCAAATTGTAGCAAACCACAGTCAATTTTAATCATACTAAACTCAACACAAAAATTGAATTGGATTCAGAGATAGATACAGATAGATATAGAGGTAGATGGATGGATAGCTATAGAGGTAGATAGATATAGCGGTAGATGGGTGGATAGATATAGAGGTAGATATAGAGGTAGATAAATGGATAGATATAGAGGTAGATAGATATAGCGGTAGATGGGTGGATAGATATAGAGGTAGATAGATGGATAGATATAGAGGTAGATAGATATAGAGGTAGATAAATGGATAGATATAGAGGTAGATAGATGGATAGATATATAGATGGATGGGTAGATAGATGCATAGAATAGGAGACAGAAGATATACGGGATGCTCTGACTGTAAATCAGCTTAGTTACTCCGCAAACTCCCCTGCTCCTCCCGCCTTCCTCCCTCCGTCTATCTGTCGCCTCTTCTGACCCTACTTTCACTCTATTGTCCACAGTAACTCAGCCCTTTGTGCCCCCCGGCCTGAAACCATACAGCGTCTCTCTGCTGTGGCTAAAATCTCAGGATTCTACATATACGCTATGAGATGATAATATAGCAGCTCTACTCCTCCTACTCCCAAGATTTCCTGAGCAAATAATTCCAAACCAGGATTAATCAACTTCCAAAATAGTCTATATCTGACTGTGAGGGGCAAAAGCATTATATCTTAAGTCCAAGAAAAGAGGAAAGCTCCAATAATCAAATGAAGAGCGTTGTTCAATTGTGATTCCTTCATTCACGAAATGTTTTTAAAAGTAGGTCATCCGGAGGTGGTGCCCTTACTGGACCAGGGAATAACCACAGTTCAGACTAATCTCCACAGACTCACAGTGATTATCAGATTGTATTGATAATCTATAAATAGATCTTGATCTCTGGCAGCCTATGACCCAATATC